CCAAACAAATCGTTCACCACAGTGTTGTTGTAAGTCAAACAAATCGTTCACCACAGTGTTGTTGAAAGTCAAATAAATTGTTCTCCACTGTGTTGTTGTAAGTCAAATACATTGTTCACTATAGTGTTATTGTAAGCTATACGCGTTGTTCTCCACTGTGTTGTTGTAAGTGTTCACTATAGTGTTATTGTAAGTCAAATAAATTGTTCACTATAGTGTTATTGTAAGCCATACACGTTGGAACCTAAAGTACAGTTGTAGGGTAAAATATTTACACTTTTAATAAATCTGAATGTTTAGTATACACCATGTGGCAACTTAATAACTACAAAGCTCAGATTCATCATTTCCTTCTAGTTATAAGATGCAGAACAAAGTTGCATGAATACAAGAAAAACAACAAAAGGTATAAGGTCACCAAGCACATCCATTATGAAAACACAAGGTATAAGCTCACCGAGCACATCCATTATGAATTCAGCTTCGTCATTTCCTGCCAGATTAGATGTTATACACTTGTAGCGACCAGCATCTTCCAAGTGTACAGGTGATATTCTCAACTTTTCACCCTCTGCAGAATGGACAAGACAGATTATGTTGTATGAAAAGAAAGTTAATTAAAACAAGTGAATATGTTGATAGATTAACCCTCGTATATCATCACACTAAGTAATAACAGATAACAGTGTATGAAAAAATGTATCGCCAAGGTAAGTCAACTCCTTAATTGAAAGAAAATGGTATCCTAAAATATCCAGATATTAATGATATTTTAGAGATGTTTATACTACACAATAAACCAAAATATAAGTTCCAAAACTTCAGGAATGATACTGTGTAGAATTAGTAAAAGAAATGTGGCTGATAGTATAATAAAGTCAGCTAGTGTAAGCCAAGGAGAGGTAGTAAGGAAACAGTTTATAGTGATCCAGATGAAATAAAAACAAATTGTGAATACAGACCAAATATGATTTGATGTCTGGAACTCATATTTAGTGCTGAGAGTGGTCTGCCATCTCTGAGCCATGTCACAGTAGGTCGTGGATTTCCACTCACTGGACACTCTAGAGTAATTGTTCTGTTGGACAGAGCTATTGGTGTGGGCACAAAATTGGACCTGTCAATAGTTGGAGGAACTGGAAAAAGATGTTAATGTAAAAGTTAATGATGGACAGGAGTAAATTCAATAAAATTTTAAAGTATTAAAATCTACAGTAAACTGCATTCTCTCCTATGATACTTTAAAGGGTCAGGTAGTCAAAAACATAAAACACAAAAACTGACCATGAACGCTCAAATCAAAATGTTTCTCATCTTGACCAACTGTATTTGTAGCAACACAAGTATATTTGGCTGCATCTCCTGTTCTCAATCTTCGAATGTGTAACTCAGAGCCATCTCGCAATATGTTCATGTTTGGTTCATTGAAAGGGTCAATGGGTTGTCCATTTTTTAGCCATGTGATAAGAGGTCGTGGGTCACCTGTTGTTTCACAGAAAAGAACAGCATGATGGTTCAGATTCCCAACAGGTTTTGTGTCCAACTGGTTAGAGATCTTTGGAGGCACTAGAAAAAGAAATCACACATTGAACCTTACTAACACAGTGGAGAACGATGTGTATGGCTTACAATAACACTATAGTGAACACTTACAACAACACAGTGGAGAACGACGTGTATGGCTTACAACAACACTATAGTGAACAATGTATTTGACTTACAACAACACAGTGGAGAACTTGGACACAACAACATTCACCCTACAACTGTACTTTAGGTTCCTTGGACAAACAACATTCAGCATATTACAGCATTACCTTAGATTTCTTGGACAGACAACATTCAGTAACTAACTGAGAATACTTGTTTTAAGGCTTAATTTTCTATTTTAGTTCCTCCTCGGCTTGACAAGAGACAGGTTATACCCGAAGCTCGTGTGAAAAAGGGAGAGGATCTTGTTGTCAGGTGTCCTGTGGAGAACTCACAGTCAGTGTCAAGCATAACTTGGCTAAAGAATGGAGAAATCCTTTCACGAAATGACCTCCCACTCAATGTGGATATTAGTCCAGATCAACAGTCTCTGAAGATCATGAAAGCTCAGACTTCAGATGCTGGCCTCTACACATGTGTTGCTGGGAACTTGGCTGGGGAAACAGAACATGAGACTGAAGTAGACGTGTTAGGTAAATAACGTTTCTTTCATCATATATATCAGTCTTAAAATGTTAATAAACAAAGTCTGAAATAACAAGTGAATAATCTAAGCCTCTAGATGTCTTTAATCCCCACATTATCAACAGCTGTTTCACTAAATAAGAAGTGAATAATCTAAGCCTGTAGATGTCTTTAATCCCCACATTATCAACAGCTGTTTCATTAAATAAGAAATGAATAATCTAAGCCTGTAGATGTCTTTAATCCCCACATTATCAACAGCTGTTTCATTAAATAAGAAGTGAATAATCTAAGCCTGTAGATATCTTTAATCCCCACATTATCAACAGCTGTTTCATTAAATAAGAAATGAACAATCTAAGCCTGTACATGTCTTTAATCACCACATTATCAACAGCTGTTTCATTAAATAAGAAGTGAGTAATCTAAGCCTGTAGATGTCTTTAATCCCCACATTATCAACAGCTGTTTCACTAAATAAGAAGTGAATAATCTAAGCCTGTAGATGTCTTTAATCCCCACATTATCAACAGCTGTTTCACTAAATAAGAAGTGAATAATCTAAGCCTGTAGATGTCTTTGATCCCCACATTATCAACTGCTGTTTCATTAAATAAGAAGTGAATAATCTAAGCCTGTAGATGTTTTTAATCCCCACATTATCAGCAGCTGTTTCATTAAATAAGAAGTGAATAATCTGAGCCTGTAGATGTCTTTAATCCCCACATTATCAACAGCTGTTTCACATCTACAGGCTTAGATTATTCACTTCTTATTTAAGTCTTTAATCCCCACATTATCAACAGCTGTTTCACTAAATAAGAAGTGAATAATCTAAGCCTGTAGATGTCTTTAATCCCCACATTATCAACAGCTGTTTCACTAAATAAGAAGTGAATAATCTAAGCCTGTAGATGTCTTTGATCCCCACATTATCAATAGCTGTTTCACTAAATAAGAAGTGAATAATCT